TAGTAGTAGTAGTAGTAGTACTTACTATTCGTAAAGAATGATAGTAGTATGAATAATCGAAGTAGTATCAATAGAATGAGGTGTCCCTAGTATTAGTATAGAAGAATAGCAGTATGAATGGTCGTATTAGCATCAATAGAAGGAGTTGTCTCTGCAGAAGCTGAAGCAAAAACGGCCTTCCGGACCAAACGTTGGGGTGGGGATGCTGGCGCTTCAGCATTTTTAGGGATGCGGTCTTTCAGGGAACTTTCCCATAGAGTCCGCATAGCAATATAGTATATACCTTAGGCCCAATGGGGTCCCATGTAGCTACTTGAGGGCCCACGTAGCTACTAGGTCATAGCTACATGGGCCCTTTTTTTTAACACTTCAAGCTGTATGCTTCTTTGCAAGTATCACTGCTCATAAAGTCTGCAGTGCTGCGTAGCCGACCAATGCGGCTATGATGTTGCAGCGTTTTTGCTTAGGCACATGGAGTTTGGTTTGGGCACTATGAAAATAAAGCGGGCCCCTTGCGGCATTCAGGGTTCAATGTCTACAGGTGTTCAGGATCGCTAGTTGCTAGCTGACAAGAAAAATGCCATGTCAAAGCTTTGCAGCAAGCAGGCAACAACTCAAGCCTTGCTCAGATGTCTCCAGCCCAAACCCTAAACGCTACACCCTGAAATTCCCTAAGCCTTAAACCCTAAACCCTATACCCTAAAGTTCCCTGAATCGTGAACCCCTGTTGCAGGAAGATCTTCATTACTGAGGACGTCCCCAAGTCATTCTCAGGCGATAAGGAGGCATACCTGCGAGCATCGGAGAAGGAGGCCAAACAAGCAATTACAGGATAGTAATAAGTAATAGCTATAATGGTAGTAACAGTAGTACTACCTTAACCCCAGAGGTATGTAGAATAATGGCTTTTTGGGCTATAATTGAGGCCTTTGGGCTATTATTTTACCTACTTTTGGGTTCCAGGTAGTAGTAATAGTAGTAATAGTAGTGATAGTAATAATGGGTCTCACAGTGGTACCTGAGTTTACATGCGATTTAGGTGCTTGTACGTCTTGCCATAGGCTACGGGCCACACATGCATGAATTGAATTCAATGTGTCTCAGGAAGCTGCAAGTAGCACCAACAAGCTCCAACTCTTTAACCTCGAGGAACCCATGAGAATAGCTCAAAGGGTCCATGTAGCCATGTAGTATACTCGTGCGCTGCAAGGTAGCTATATGGAAGCCCGAGGCCCGAGGTATGTACGATATATACATAATTTATTGTTTACGGGTTTACGGCATATATATATATATGTATAGATTAGGCATATATGCCGTAAACGCTAAACGGTAAACCCTGAACCCTATCTCTACATGGGTTTATTCTTACTATGTTGACTATTATTACTAGAGTGTCTTACGGCGTGGGTGCCTATTTTCTCATATAAAAACATTGTTTTTTTTACATCACTTTTATAAAGAAATCTGATTCATTCGTAGCGACATGGCAAGACTACAGGTATGAAAATCCGCACCACAGAAGCCTTGTAACTTTAGTGAGATATACATCCCAACATCCAAAACGGAACGTGCATGTAGAGACATGCGTGAACGGTGTCATGGATTTGCCTATGTCTTCCTGAAGATTCTCTCTAAATCAGACTATGTGTTGTCTTTTGAAGATAGGATGGCCTTCAGAAGTGCAATTTTCTGTAATACGAGTATGATTATTCCCTAGGGCTCCAGTTACCTAAATAATGGGTTCTGGGCTCTATATAACCTATGGTTACATAGCGGTAACTGGGAGCCCCGGGGATTATTACTATTACGAGTATTACCCTCCCTAGACCCTAAACCCTAAACCCTAAACCGCCCTAAACCCTGGGAACTTGAGCCCTGGCATTGCTCACGTCCTCGGCAGTAGCATTTCGCAGTGTCGCGGCTTGGGTACTGGGTTTAGGGTTTATAGGGTTCAGGGTCTGAGGGGTTTTAGGGTTTAGAGGCTTTTCCGGTGCATACAGTTTATAGGGTTTGTAGGGTTTGGAGGGTTTGGGTTGTTTTGGGTTTTTAGGGTGTATAGCGTTTAGGGTTTATAGGGTTTAGGGCCCAAGCAATGTGTCCCCAACCCTTCCCAACTGTACCAGGACTTTCAGGACCACATATCAGCAATGCCCTGAACAACCCCCACGCACCCTAGGGTCCGCATTGTCAGACCCAGATTTGCTGAACGGCCCAAGTTTTGTGCAAGGCTTGTTTCATATCCTGAGCTTCCTAAACCCTAAACCCTAAAGGATGGATCTAGGTAGCCCCGGCACCCTGAACCCTCAACCCAAGGGGGCTATGGTTTAGGGTCTGTATTTAGGCCGTCTCTGTATGGCAAACCTCCACCACCCCTAAGCCCAAACCCACATCATAAACCTTAAGCCCTAAACCCTAAACCCTAGACCATAAACCCTAAGCCCGGCTAGGTAGGTGAAGCCAACGCTTTGAAGTCTGCGGCAGATGTCAATGGCTTGGTGGCCACTGGTCAAACTGATGTTTGGGCCTTGGACGATTGGGCCAGTGGATCCTAAGTACCTCTATGGGGTTTAGGGTTTAGGGTTACAAGTACCTATATGGTATAAAGTAGGGTTTCTTTACTAGGAAGTAGTAATATGGTTTAGGTTGGTATCTCCTATACAGGTACGTGGGAGCCTTTGGGTAACCTTAAACCCCAAACCCTAAACCGGTAGTACAGGGCTTTGGCGTAGACCATACCAGGGTTCTATATGAATGTTAGGCAGTAGTCATTGTGATTTTCCAGGTGCATGGATAAGGGGTTCTATAGGGGAGTACTATAGGGGTTATTAAGGGGGATACTAGGAGTTTAGACTATAGCTCATACTGAGTGCCAGCCCTGCATGCTATTGTCCACAGCCATGCCGGTGCCTAAACCCTAAACCTTAAGCCCCAAACCCTAAACCCTTCCTCTAACTTGCAGGATCACTCATCGCAAGCAGCACAGTCATCGCGCGCAGTTGAAGATGCAAGCGTCTTGGAACACAAGTTGGTACCAGCTACCTTTGGTTTAGGGTTTAGGGCTTAGGGCCAAGTTTTCGCCATTTGCAAGCGGCTAGCCCCATTTCCGTGACCCGTAGCCTACACTTCTAACGAAGCGGTTATACGAGAATCGTTTAGCCGCAAGTATATACTGTACACCGACTTTAAACCCAACACCCTGAAGCCTAACCCCGAACCGTAATCCCTAAACCCTAAACTCTGAATCCTCTACCTGAATCCTCTACTATATGAGCCCTGGACTAAAGTAATAGTACATTAAAGGCCCCCCCAAAACCCCCTACATCCTCCTACAGGTCTCCCCCTACCTAACTTTAGTCCGTAGCTCATATGGCTGCATGGCCCCTTCGGTTTGCTTCAAATCTGTTCGGGGAAGGATTCAGGGTTTAGGGTTTAGGGGGGCGCACTTGGGAGACTCGGCAGCTTAGTAAACTGAGTGTCTTCAATACTGTGGTTTAAGGGTTTAAGGGCTTAGAGTTTAGGGTCGAGGGTAATGTGCTACAATACCATAAAGAAAGGTACTCAGGTCATGCAGGTGTTAGTAGCTTCTGCAACACCCATAGTAAGGTCCTGAACACCTAACGCAAGGGTGTTAATAGGTCCTCTGGCCCATCTAGGCTGTGTCCACCCAGGAAGAAGATTCCAAGACCAAGTGTCCAAGGACCCACATATTGGAGTTCTAGGTTCCAAGAACGCTAAGCGGAATGTGTACCCAGCACCTACTGTACCTCTTGAATAAGTGCATGGGCCATCGAGTAACATGGTAATAGGGCGTTTTTTTTTGTCTTAGTATCTGAATGAGTTTGTCTATGATTGCATTAGCAGATGTAGTTCATGCCGTGCATCACTGGAGCAGAGGGAGCCCACCCCCTTTCTTCGAGAGTATACCCATAAACCATAAGACGGATCCTCGCATGATTTAGGTTATGTTCCTTCATCAAGGGGTATATAACACAAGCAGGATTTGGCAAGGCTAACGCCCAAATTCGGGGCCCTGATATGGACAGATGGTAGCTATGGGTATTACAAGTGGCCCGGTATTATATTGGTTACCTTTAGAAAATAGAACCCCGAACCAACCCCACCAGAGGGCAAGTGCCTAAGGCAGCGCAGCACCTTCACCATCTCTTTGGGAAGTTGTTGGCGGTGCAGACAAGGGTGGCATCGTTGTCCGCAAGGGTTGCTGCGACTGCACTGGAAAGGACGTTTTTGATTTTCAGGACGGTCTGTCATGGTGTGCGTGAGGCATCCTTATAATCGAATATCTCTGCTTTTGTAGGAGGATTTGGGTAACCCAACCCCCATCAGCGGATCCGGTAAGAGTCATATGATAGTCATAAGGTCCTCGTTTTGATGTTGAAGCAACCCATGCTCCCTTGTTGAGCTTTTTTGCATGTGGGTGCGCATTGCCGGCTGCATGTAAAATCTGGCTGTTTTCTCGGGCACACGCCAGAATGTTCCTCTTCCGTGCCAACAACAGCAAGTCAGTGCCTGCGGCGAAATGGACTAGAGAATGGATCTTACAGACCTCCCCGACCACATTTCCCCTGCCTCACTTGGAAATATTTCGCACATGATGCGCGGCCCTGGGCTGCCTGAGAATTGCCTTAGGTTTCAAGGTTCGAGGGGCATCTGCCAATAACAAGGTCTTTTTGCTTGCTGGTTTATCTGTGGGTAGCCCTAAATCCTGAACCCTACCTAGAGGAACCTACACCGTGCAGAAGGTAGAGATACCCAAGTATCAGGCACACAACCACTTAAAATTGATACATAGGTCACCGCAGGTTAATCCGAAGGATTTTCGTGAAATCAAGCCTTTCTGCCTACTGAGAACTGGAACCTTGAGGGAATGTAGCAGTTATAGGGTTTGGATTAGATGGGAGTAGGGTTTAGGGTTTAGGGTTTTAGGGTCCCTTCCCTAGGTACCTATGTGGGTTTCATACATTCATGGGACTTTGACACTACTTGGCTTGGAGCCCTGCCAAGTAGATACCTTCTTAACTGGCCTTATAGGGTTTACCAAAATATGAAAGGAATGGTAACCCCATGTAGTATACGTACTGTAATCTCTACGTCCCATGCCTCTCCAAGCAAGTCCTTTGCTAAATTAGACTGACTATGGGAATCTATGTAAACCTTAAAAACCCTGGACCCTAAAATCCTAAGCCGTAAACTCTAAGTAACCCTGAACCCTAAACTGTAAACCCCCCCCAAATCCTAAACCCTAAAACCCGGAAACCCCAAAACCCTAAAACCCCAACACCACCAACCCAACTAGGCCTAACCACTCAAACCCCAAAACCCTAAACAACCCAAATCCCTAAATCCTAAAACCCCAAACCCGAAACCGCAAATGACCCCAAACCCTAAACGCCCCAAATCCTAAATAATCCTAAATCTTAATAAGCCACAAATAACCCTAAACCCTGAACCCTAACACCCCCAAACCCTAAACCCCCGAGCCTGAACCCCAAAACCCTGAACCCCTTAAAACCCCAACCTCACAGCCCATAGTTAGGCAAGCCCTAAACCCTTTACCCTAAACCCTAAACCGCCCTATACCCACAGTTACCTACCCAAAGGGTCCATGTAGGTATATGGTATATACTTAGGGCGCAAAGGGGTTCCCATATAACTACTTTGAAGCCCAAGTATACCTTAAACCCTAAACCCTATACCCTAGACCCTAACCCTTAAACCCTTCTGCCTACTACATGGACCCTTTGGGCTATAAGTCCTTTGGTTAGTCAGGCAAGGACACGTCTTCAGAGCAGGAGCCGAGACGTTTGGTCACCGGCTCCCTGATTCTGGGTCCGCGTTTACAGTTTAGGGTTTAGGGCTTAGGGTTTGGGGTATGGGAGTTTTAGGATTCAGTATTTAGGGTTCAGGGTCTAGGGTATGGGGGTTCTAGCATTTAGGGTTTAGGGTTGGGGTTGGGATTTAGGGTTTAGGGTACGAGGTTGGGCTATTTTGAGCCTTAGGGGAAAAGCTTTTGGACCAGGGCTTATGTATTCGACTCGAGGGTTCCAGAATTTCGGGTTGAGGGTTTAGGGTTGAACACCTACACAAAGGTTTTAAGCACAAGCCCTAATCAATCCCTAGGAGCCCAGGAGGATCTACAAAGTACAAACCCCCAATATGGTAGTGTATGCCATTATTTGGGTAACTTCCAAGAACCCTTCAGGAGGAACTGCCTTCTAGATCCTCTCAGGGTCCGACCCTAAACCCTAAACCCTAAACCCTAAAAGGATTGAGCAACGCGAGCTCGTAGGAGATCGACTCCGCTACGCTCCTTGGATGTTCTTAACCCTAAGGGTCCAAGGACCCAAATAATAATAGGGTCCCTTTAAAGGGGTTATAGGGGGATATATAGGGTTTAGGGTTTAGGGATCCAAGGACCCAAATATTTGGGTTTTAGGACCCAAATACAATCAATAGTGTAGTATGTGGGCCCTAAAGCCATGATATTTGAGTCCTTGGACCCCTAGGGTAAATTAACGGGCGTTTCCCTACTTTGTGGGTCCCTTGTGGGGGAACTGATCACCAGGATCATAGTGCCAAGCGGCCTATGTTTGGGCCCCGCATTTTTGGAAACCACCCTTTTCGGTACGAGAAGTACCTGGTATAGGAACTGTAAGGGCTCTTATGAGAAGGTTTCGGGGATTTGGTATAGAAGTACTGGCATGAAGATTTGGTGTATTAGGGTCTGCTTGGTTAAGCCCTTTTGGTGGTCCAACAATAATACCAGTAATAGTAATAACAACAACAGAAATAATAGTATTAACAGTGATAATCGTAATAATGGTGCTAATAGGAATAATGATAGTAGTAATCCTAGACCGCACTGTAAATGACCCGCTCAATCGGAAACAGTTGCCGTTCCCAGGGAGCATTTGGTTCCTGGGTTTGCGCAGAAACGGGCTAGGGTCTGTAATGCCCAGATAATGCAGCACAACTGGCATTCCAACAGCCGGTATACGGTTCGAAAACCCGGAAAGTCGAAATCTCTCTGAGTCTTTCTGCCCTCAGCTTCATGCTCAATCTCATAATGTGCTCTCAATCTCATAATGTGCTTGGATGCTGATGGGGCGTAGTAAGTAGATCTGAAATACCTTCTGCTTGGAGGTTCCAACAATTCTTAGGGGCGACTCTTGAGGAGGCACGTGTAATCAGGGTTGTCGTACGGGGGGGGTTCTATCTATATTATATATATATATGCAAATATGTAAATACATATATCAGGGGCACCACCCACTCCCCCCCCCATATTTGGGGAAATACCCATTGATCATTCTAACTGAGCCCCAGTATTCCCATTGCCGACCAAGTTGCTGAATGTGTTGCGTGTTCTCATCCTCTTAACAAACTAAAGCGTGCTCAGGCACTCCACACGGGAGAAGGCCCTTCAGAAGGCCGCCTGCCAAGTAAACGGTTTGGGATAAAAGGTTTAAGGTTTGAAGGTAGGTGGCCCTTGAAGGGGAGCATTGTAAAATTGTGGTCGCCGGGAGCTATTGTAGGAGCTGAAAACGATCGTACAGGGATGTCTTCAAAGTTCCATCGTGTCCCGATTGCTCTTTCCCTGGTGTTGGGTACTGTAGTCTTGGTAAAGTTGCATATGCGCGAGGGAAGCCGTGTATGTACGTCTGCATGTATGTATGTATGTATGTATGTATGTATGTACGTACGTACGTATGTATGCATGTGTACATACATGTATGTATGTATGTATGTATGTATGTATGTATGTATGTATGAATGTACGTACGTACGTACGTATGTATGCATGTGTACATACATGTATGTATGTATGTATGTCTGTCTGTCTGTCTGTATGTATGTATGTATGTATGTATGTACGAATGTATGCATGTATGCATGTATGTATGTACGAATGTATGTATGTATGTATGTATGTATGTATGTATGTATGCTTTGTATTGTTTAGGTACTTTTGACCCTAAACCCTGACGCCTAAACCTTTGCATGCTGGCAACCAGGAAGTGTAGAGCCAAGTCGGGTCTTCAGTGTTGTTTTGCGTGCGACGTCCTAAGCAGTTCGCAATACAGAGTAAGATCATGGGTTTAGGGCTTAGGGCTTAGGGCATTTAGGGTTTAGGGTTTCGGGTTTAGGGCATTTAGGGTTTAGGGTTTAGGGCCCTAAACCCTATACACTTTGTAGAGGTATAGCTCTTATGATGAGAGTAGAACCTTATTGGCCTTCAACCACCGAAGGACGCTTCCGATATGCCCACTTGCCATGGGAAGCGAAACATCTAGCTTTAAACTCACCTCCACCTACCAAAATAGCAATAAGCATTTCCTTTAACTCCAAAGTACTGGGTTTATAGGCTGTTAATGTGTGTCTCTGGGAAGTCTACATACCTCAACACACCCTGCACCCTAAACTTTAAACCGCTGTGTCCTAAACCCTAAACCCTAAACTGATATAATCTTTTCAAGGGGACCTTGACTATGGGTTTTTGGGCAGTGTAGGCATGGCTCAAGACCCTAAGCGTCTAGGGTTCACGATTTACTTTTTAAGATGTAAAGTTTAGGCTTTAAAGTTTGGCTTTAGGGTTAAGATTTTAAGGTATAGGGTTTGGGGTTCAGGGCGGGTCTAGACTGGAGGTCGAGCATATGAGTTTGCTGCTCACTCGGGCTCAGGTACCCCATAATTGAGTACTTGGGCTTGGGGAAACAGTAGCTGTAGTATATGTTTTGGGGGCAGTACATGCATGTTGAATACTTGGACCCCGAGGGTCTCTGCCTCCAACCGTACTTAAATTGAAGCTACAAGAACCCGTATCCTGCCCAAGTACTTGTAAGGCTTTCCATCCAGGAGTTACGATGATCCCAAACCCCAAACCCTAGGCTCTAAACTCTAAACCCTAAACCTAGCCCCTAAACTCTAGACCTAGGCCCTAAACCCTAAACCTTTACAAGGAACTCCAGACTCCAGATGTCGCCTTCAAGCAGCAGCGTCTGTAATATGCCTATGTTTCTAAGTGCCTCCGGGTACAAGCCCTAGTCCCCAAAACCTTGCTATACCCTAAAACCCTAAACCCTATACCCCAAACCCCTAAACCCATGCAAGTCTTCAACATTAACCTGCTACATGTCTAGCTGTTGACCCCAATCACTTCTAAACCCTAGCTATTGACCCCAATGATACACGCTGCACCATGCATAAGGCTGGGTGAGCATCCGACTGAAAGCAAAAGAGCTGGTGGTCAAAACTCGCTGATTTCCTGAGGCGCGGGATTCGGAGGTTTCTCAAAATGAGGGTTTCCTAGCAATAATGGTGCCATTTTGGGGGTCCCCATAATATTTTTGGGTCTATATTGGGGTACCCTAATTTAGGGAAACTACCAATTGCGCATTTTGTGCGACGGGCATTCTCCTTTTATATCCCTCCAAAATAGGGGGGACTTTACTACAGGGACCGCAGCAGGGATCCATGACATCGAGGAACCCCCAGAATTAGGGTTTAGGGTTTAGGGTTCACAATTGATGAGAGCAGACTTATGTGGCTCTGTTGAAAGGGTCGTGTTGCAGGTACAGTAAACAAAAGGAAACATATGTGCATGCTCGCATGAAGCTGTTTGCCTTAGGAAACCAATCGCTGAATGTTCATATAGTCCCAAAACTCTATATGATAGCAACTATTGCTAGCATCCAAATCGCTACTACCAAGGTCCCTGAAACCAAGTCCCTGAATCCCAGTCCCTAAAAATTCTAAACCAACCAGACTCGCTGCTGAAATCCTCCCCAGCATCAAGGGGCAGGTTGGCTTGCGAAGATCAGGAAGTGTCGGGAAATTTGTCTTGCCCTTCCTGAGGGGTCCATGTAGGTACTTGGTCCCTCGAGTTATATAGGAAAGCTCTTTGGGCTCTGGTTATTTGATATTTGCTATACAGCTACATGCACTCTTTGCTACAGTTTCGCAAGTCCTCACGGATCTTGCTGCACCAATGTCTTCTGGAGTCGATGTCTTGTTAATCGTCTCTTTGGAGCCATTTACTTTGACTATCTTTGACTAGCACAACATATCTAGGGATCCAAGTATACAGATAATACCTACACTGGGCCCTAAGGTCTGTAAAGATTAGCTGAGCTACGGACTAAACTTAGGTTGGGGGGGACCTATAGGGGATATATAGGGGGGTATAGGGGGACCTATTTAAGGGATATACTACAAATTTAGTCCAGGGCTCAATTACATTGGGTGATTTGTATCCCTAGGGGTTGAGCACATAATATCCGGCGCAGCCTACCACGGAAACGTAAGTACTTCAAAATTGTTCTGGCTCATTCCGGTCATCTACTCAATGTAAGAATAATACGAACAAGAGTAGAAATAGTAGAAAGAGTAGTAGTTATAATTATACTAGTAACCATATTACAATACTAATGGTAATAATCAGAGTAATGCTTGTAGTAGTAGTAATGATATGAATAATGACAGTAAGAAAACTACTACACCTCAAAAAGCTTGTTGTAGGACTGGACCATGACCCGCCGCGGCGTCGCGGTCGCGGACGACAAAGCGCTCTGACGAAGAGCTGTTGATGGATGCCACGCATGCCCTAAATGCACCAGAGCCACCCGAAGCCTCGGGCTCCAAATAGTCCGATGTAGGCAAGTATTGAACTATTTGTACACTTTAGACTTCTTGGATTTAGAAGCCCTCAACCCTGTTCCCAACCCTAAACTCTAAACCTTAAACGTTGAGGAAGGCGTATGTAGAGGTACGTAGGCATAATGTAGACTTATACGGGTTGTATAGGGATAATGGAAGAGAAAATGGAATTTACCAGTTTAGAGTTTGGGGTTTCGGGTTTAATGTAGACCCATGATTAATAAACCCCCCTCCTTTAAAGGGCCTTAATAGTAGGATCCCTACTATAATCTCGGTAAGGGGAGGGTGGTTTTTTTTGGGGGTCTACATTACACAGCGGGATATACGGATATGTAGGCGTGGCGTTTTTTTATGGCATACAGGAGTATATAGGAAAATATAGGCGTATATAGGGATATACAGAGATGAGGAAGAATCAAATTGATGCTGAAGATCAGGAGACTTAGCTAGGAATGGGGAAGACCATGGACACTTCTGCATCGTTTCTGCCTACCAGGTCAAGGATATACCGGGATGAAGAACCCTAAACCCTAAGCAGGAACGCTTAGTAAGCAATGGAAAAGTTTGAAGCATTTACTGTCTATGGCGCGGGTCAGGGATGTATAGGTGTAATGGAGAAGCAAATGAAAACATGCAGAAAACGCATGGTAGCTGATCTCACACTCAAGATGGGTCCTTCATCATCTACCTCAACGGGCCTCACCCCACACAGCAATAAAAGTGCTGAACTATTTGGTAGTATTTTTCGATCTCGCGGGTTACTGTAGGTTGACACTCCAAACATGCTTAGAATCTTGACTATACTGACGCTGCAAGATGGACTGCACGCCGCTGCTGTTGCTTCTTTCGCGATATAAAAGAGTGAGGGGAACCCGTTCTGCGTCGGCAGCTGAAAGTTGAGCCTGCTCCAATGTTATCACATACAGAAAATTTCCAGTACAATGGCACCGAGAAGTAGATCCGTAATGACAATAACGCCCTAAACCCTAAACTCGAGACACTAAAACCTAAACCCTAAACTCTGACCCCGAAAGCTCTCAGCCCCAAACTCCTAAGCCCAAGGCCCTTAACTCTAAACTCGAAGCCCTATGCCCTAGTAGTGCCTGTTGTTTAATGGAAGTTTCCCTTGGGTAGCTTCCCCCATGCAAGCCGTCCTTAAGTAGCCCTTATGTACCTGATAGGCACCTGAAAACTCCCTTGATGATGTTTTAATGATGTTATAGGTTTAGGGTTTAGGGTTTAGGGTTCAGGATGTTATATAAGGGGCAATATAGGGATATTACCCCCCAATAGTGGAGAATCAAATGGAAAAGAAAATGGAAAATGAAATGGAAACTGGGATTATAGGGCAATTAATAGGGATTAGGGTTATGTGAGCTATAGTCTAAACTCCTTAAAGGGG